TCATGTGCTGCGTCTCTCAGCTCAGACCCATGACTGCAGCACATGATGAGCTCAGGGCTAATTACTGCCGGACTCACACCACCCGGTGCCTGCTGACGGCTCAGAGCACACCCCAAACATCATGATGCTCCAAAAGTATACATCTACTTGATCCTAAACTCATTTGGATCATATTTAGTAACGTAGAGGAGTCAGAATGTTAAGATTTATGAAAATAGTCAGAATTTTAAGAAAAAAAGTCAGCATTTTAAGTCAGAGTTTTTCAGGAAAAAGTCAGGATTTTAAACAAATGTCAGAATAATTAGTTTTTCAGAAAAAGCCATAATTATTAGTTTTTCAGAAAAAAGTCAAATGTTTGATTTTCGGAATAAGTCAGAATTCTGAGAAAAAAAAGTCAGATTTATGGAATTTTCTGAAAGTGTTTTTATGCTTTTAAAATATTTTGTAAAGCACTTTAAATTGCTTTGTTGTCAAAATGTGCTACATTAAAAAACTACCCAAATATGTGGTAAAGTATCTCGTGTATTTGTAGAAGGTAAAAAAGCCTGTGGCTCCGTCAATAGGGGCTCAAATATGTGTGGACTGTTACATGACTCAAATCTCACTGTATGACAAAAATAAAGAGGGTTTTTAAACAACCTACGCTTTGTTAACACATCCACTAAATAGCAAGTTATTGGCTCACTCTTAAATTTGTCTAAATGTGTCCATCGGGCAAAAATATCTCCAAAAACAAGTTGTGATATCATCCAGGATGTGAGTAATGCAGCCTTTTGGCCTCGGACACATCGAGCTCTCTTTCAGAGGGAAAAGTTGTGTGAATGAAATCTCAGCTTCCAGACATCGAGCATTATAAAAGAAATCGATGCTGCTTTCTGGCCTCCGTCTACTTTGTCTTTTGTGTCGACTGAAAGCCTTTTCCCCGGAGACACTTTTTCTGAAATGTTGTCATTACGTCAACGACCTGAAGGTGAAGTGAACACGGTGAAAAAGTGGCCAAGGACAATTAAAAGTTTGTGAAAAAAGCAATAAAAATCCCTCTGAAATGTCACGCTTTGGACCTGGAGCTAATGTTCAATATCCTGCAAATCCCTCAAAGGGAAAAGGAGTTCAAATGAAAGACTGGTCCAAACTCACGCTCTGAGGAATTTATTAAGAAAGGAAGCATTCAGTTTAATTTGGTGATCCTAATCTGATAAAACCACGTCAGGAACACAGGGACGTCGTACTGGCAACATCTCAATGACGTGTGAGCCAAACAACGATCACATAGGCGAGTTTTGACTCATGGGGTCTGTTGGTCTATTTTTAATGTGGGTAGATTTGAGATAATTACATTACAGAATTCTGAGTTTTTCAGGAAGAAGTCATAAGAAATCAGAGCACACGCTAAACATCATGATATGTATTTGCTTGATCCTCAACTCATTTGGATTATATTTAGTCAGGAGAGGAGTTAAAACTAAACACAAAAATAGCCAGAATTTTAAGATTTTAAGAAATAAATACAGAAATGTAAGAAAAAAGTGAGGATTTGAATTTTTTTTCTGAATTATTAGTCTTTTTTAATAAAGTGGAAACGTTGAGAAAAAAGTAAAAAAGTTTTAGATATTCAGAAAAACTCAAAATGTCGAGATTTGGAAAGAAGTCAGATTTTTTTTTGAAAAAATAACAATTATTCGTTTTGTAGAAAAAAGTAAAACATTTGAGAAAAAAGTTAAAAAAGTGTTAGATATTCAGAAAAACTGAGAATGTAGATTTTCAAAAAGTCCGATTTTTTGGGAAAAAAGTAACAATTCAGACTTTTTCAGATAAAAGTAAAACATTTTAGAAAAAATAAACCATTTTGAGATTTTCAGAAAAAGTCAGAATTTTAAGAAGAAAAGACAGAATTTTAAGAAACGTGAGGATTTGAAAAAAATCAGAATTATTACTTTTTCAGAAAAAAGTCAACATTCTTTTTTTTTTATATTCAGAAAAAGTCAGAATTAGAGAATTTTAAAAAGTCCGATTTTTTGGAAAAAAAGTCAGAATTATTCGCTTTTCAGAAAAAGGTCAAAATGTTGCGATTTTCTGAAAAACTCAAAATTCTGAGGAAAAAAAGTCAGAATTATAGGATAAAAAAGAATGAAAACGAAAACAATGTGGTTGAATTGGAGCTAATTTCAATGCTAACGCTGCTAGCACTGAGGATATTATGTTTTCACAGCAATTTGTGAAGCAACACTGACATCAAACCACATTTTGTCATCTTACAACTGTTGATAATTTAAACATTTAGCAGCTACAGAAAAACATAATGATTTATTTGGGGTTGTCCAATTTTAGCTCCGTTTTTGGTCTCCACCACCAAATATCTGTATCTGTTTTTTAGTATTTGGGTGTTAGCTGTTTAACCCCAGGCTTCTCTGTGTCCTTGAGCAAAACACTGAACTTTAACTATTTCCAAGCAACAAGTTCCCATACAATTAAAAACATTTGTTTTGTGATGTAAATCGAAACAAAAGCTTATAAGAACTACTTGGTTATGTAAAGAAATCCTGGATTGACGGTTCCTTTGCAATGTAAATTAAGTACAGATGTCCTTTCTTTTTAAAAACGTTGATATTAACATAGGACACAAACAGCACTCTTAAGTGTTATATTTTAACCATACATTTGCCTCTATTTCTTGCACAAGCACACTTCTGCAACATATTTATAATACCTCAAAAAACAAACTTGGAGAAAATTCATTTCCCTTGAAACTCATGGATCGGTGAGTTTAATTGTCAACAGGTGCCATGTTAAAGCAGTCCATTTATCATTTAGAGCTTTTATCTGGGAAACATCTGCCTGATTTGGATGTAAAAGGAAGCTGATATGTAGGAGTGAAACAAAGTCTGGCACTTAACGCCCACTAAAAACATGTCATTTTATACTCTTGTACAGACTAAGCAAAGACAGAGCTAGGCTAGCAGTTTCCCCCTGTTTCCAGTCTTTATGCTAAGCTAAGCTATGCCAACTGTCTCCCTAAAATCAATGTTCTTATCGAAGTCTCATCACATTTTGAAAAAAGAGGTCATCCAGAGTCTTACTTAACTTTCACAGATGGCAACAACGTCCATAAAATCCAATTCACACTTCCTTCAGGGCTCTTCCACCCACTCCATATCACGCTATAAATACCATCCATTAAACTCAGAATCTCTGCCATACATCTCTGATAACTACTCCTGCTCAAACTGTCACCAAACAAACAACAAGTCCTGATGAATTCACAGCAAAACACACGTTGGAAAACGCCATAAAGTGGAGATTTATGACAGATATAAGCATTAAAAAAGCATTAAAGTGCAAAAATACTCCTCTGACTGGAAGAGAACTCTGCTCGAAAGCTTCTCTTGATAACTGGAATTAAACTCCCATTGTTTTACATTAATATTCAATTTAATATTTAATAATCATTTCCTTGCACAATTAAAGTATATATAATATCCTTCTTTATAGTTTTTTTACTGTACATTTGTATTTTCACATGTATATTTTTTAACTTGTTAATACTATTTTATGTCTTTTTTCAGAAATATTTTGGATTGTTTATTTCTGATGTTTTCTTTCTCTTATGTACAATGCCCTGCTCAATCAAAAGTAAACATAAGAGAGTCAGAATTTAGAGATTTTTATAAAAAGTCAGCATTTTAAGATTTTAATAAAAAAGTCTGAATTTTAAGGAAAAAGAGAGGATTTGAAAAAAAAAGTCTGAATTATTAGTTTTTCAGAAAAAAGCCAACATTTTGAGAAAAAGTCAATATTTTTTAGATATTCAGAAAAAGTCAGAATTTAGAGATTTCCAAAAAGTCCGATTTTTTTTGAAAAAAGTAACAATTATTAGTTTTTCAGGTAAAAGTTAACATTTTGATAAAAAGTCAGGATTTTAAGATTTTGATAAAAAGTCAGAATTTAAAGAAAAAAAGACAGATTTTTAAGGAAAAAGTGAGGATTTGAAAAAAACCTCTGAATTTTTCGTTTTTCAGAAACAAGCCAGAATTATTAGCTTTTTAGAATAAAGTAAAAATGTTGAGAAAAATATTTTTTAGATATTCAGAAAGAGATTTCCAAAAAGTCCGATTTTTAAAAAACAAAAGTAACAATTATTAGTTTTTCAGGTAAAAGTCTACATTTTGAGAATTTCAGAAAAAGTCTGAATTTTGGGATTTTCCAAAAGTATTTTTAAGATAAGACAAGACTTTATTCATCCCGAAGGAAATAGTTATGCAAGAGTTACAAAAACACAATAAACAAAGCAGCATAATAATAAAACTGTACACTAACAGTGCCGTGAAAAGAGCAATTAAATATGTACAGGAAACATAGACGGTGACATCATTAATGTAAATATTAACAGTATTTAGTAATGCAACAAAAACGTAGTGGCAGATACGTAATTGCACGTTATCATAGCACATTATTAATAATAATATTGCACATGTTGTATAGCAGCGAGTGTTTTGTAATGATGGTAATGATATTTATATTGCATATATTAGAGCTTTTCAGCTGGGAAACATCTGCCTGATTCGGATGTAAAAAGATATTGGGCTGTAGGAGTGAACCAAAACAGAGAAGTTGACGGATGTAGAACCAAAACAAAGGGCGGAAAGAGTGTGTTCCAATACTTAATAAAAGTATTAAAACACACTCAAATTGAGACTTCCTGGAGGCAAGAAGAAAGTCACTGTGTCTGGCGAAGTGTGGTGTGGAAGCTTCTGCAACGCAAACATTTCCTAAATTGGGGCCTGTGTTACACACCTGTGAGTAGAGCGTGGTAGTGAAGCCCTCTCTCTTTGTCTGAATGAGAGCACACATCGAACAGGTACGCTTTGATGGGTCCGTCGATGAAATCTGCGGCGAAGTCGAACAGAACGACTCCCAGCATCACGATGACGATGGCCCAGGTGCTCTTCAACGACTGTTCCGTGACTAATTCTGAAAGACAGAACAAAAACACCTCATCATTCACAAACTGAATAATGACGACTCTAGTACTATACTTGAAGTGCCAAAAAGAGAAATCCAACAGGTGCAGCACTTTGAGAGACACTCAGAGACATTAAAGACAGGAAATAACTGTAATTAAAAAACCTGACTCTCTACATAATTTCCTCTGAAGAAATAAAGGATGCAAGAAAACATCACAGGCACAAAACTAGATGAATGATTGATGTCAGGACGGCAGAGAGTAAACACAACTTCTGAAAACCCATCTGTTTCCACGGCAACGCAAACAAAATAATTGAAAAAATGACGTACACAAGCACTTGAAATGTTTTGGTTTATTTTAAGCGAATGTACTTGCTGTCCTGAATTTGTGTTGAAGATGTTTTGTAAGTGGCTTTGCATGGAAGTGACAGCTGAATGAAATGTGCTGTAGCTTGTCAGCAGGTAAACTGAAAGATACTGTAAGCAAGGTGATGTATTATAATTGTTCATCTCATTTTACTGTAGGAAATAGTTTAAATATACTAAAAAGGATTAGGGCCACACTCACACAAAATGTTGAATTGTTTCTCAAAATTCGGCCTTTTTAAATTAAAATTAAAATTGTTTCTCAAAATCTGACTTTTTTTTCCTTGAAATTATAATTTTTTGTTTTATTCGGAATTATTTTTCCCCAAAAAATGTTAACGGAAATTCTGATGTGACTTTATTCTCAAATTTATCTTTTCCCAGGATTCAGATTTTTTTCTTACAAATATTATTTTTCTGAGACTTCTGAGGTTTTTCTCAAAAACGACTTTTGACTCAGAATTCCGAAATGTTTCTCAAAAATATATATTTATTTTATTCTGACTTTTTTCTCCCCCAAAACATTTTCAGAAAATGTTGATTTTTTTTCCTAAAAATACTTATTTTCTCACAAAAAACTTTTTTCCTGAAAATTCTGACTTTTTTCCTGAAAATTCTGACTCTTCAGTAAACAATGAGATACTGTAATCAAGGTGATGCAGTGCAATAAGGAAAATCTTATTTTAGGAAATAGTTTAAATATACGAAAAAGGTTTAGGGCCACACTCACACAAAATGTTGAATTGTTTCTCAAAATCTGACTTTTTTCCTTGAAATTATTATTTTTGTTTTATTCTAAAAATGTTCTCCCCCAAACTTTTTTCTCAAATTTCTCCAGGATTCAGATTTTTTCCTAAAAACATTTTATTTCTGAGATTTCTTATGTTTTTCTCAAAAATGACTTTTGTCTCAGAATTCCAAAAATGTTTCTCAAAAATATATATTTATTTTATTCTGACTTTATTCAGATTTTCTCACAAAAATATTTGTTCTGAAAATTCTGACTTTTTTCTCTTAATTATAATTTTTGTTCTCAAAACATTTTTTTCTCCAGATTCTGACTTTGAATAGTTTAAGAAAATCCTGACTTTTTTTTCTAAAAATGTTGACTTTTTTTTCTCTGGAGTACAAGCAAAAACTACAAATAAACTTCCTGTACAGAAACTAATTAAATTAACTTATTACCTAAAAAACAGTGTTTTTTAGAATAAAAATCAAATCCCAGTGTATTGATAATTTGGTTCATCATTCACAAAAAAAATGTAAATACACGTTTAAATTAGATCTAGTATAGCAGAGAGAGGTTGTTATGCAGTTATACGGAGTGACCTCTCTATAATTATGAAACAAACAGAGAAATGCTAGTTAAAATCAAAAGGGAAAACTCGACAATACTGACAAACAATGCAAACATTCACGACATGTGGCATTTTCTACAATCCTGAGAAACACGGAGAGATAATCAGCTTAACGAGCGTAAGAATACTTTATGCTCCGTGTGATGATTAGAGCAAATTCCAGAGAAAGAAAAGAAAGAAATAATAATAATAAAGAAACTCAATCAACAATCACAGCATTCAACTAAGAATTAAATATATTTAAAACAAGCTGATTAGGCAAGCAGAAAAAAGTATCGTGCAGCTCCTTTAATACACATTGTGTTGCCTGTTTACTTGTTTATTTTATGGTTTAATTATAAATCAACCTCTCCAGAACATGTGCCAAACACTTCACATGTTTGCAGACTTTTGGGGATTTTAAATAGTTCAAATTGTGTTTAAAACTAACGGTTTAAAAACATTTTCTCAGTCATCTGTGTGTGCCAGCGGGCATCACATCGACCTAACAAGTCACACACTTCAGTCACAAGTTCAATGTGTGAGCAGAGGAGCCACACAGGACCTTTTATTTCGTTATTTTTATCAAAATGTCAGAACGAGAAGATATTTGACTGCAGGAGCTACAAAACAAAGCATAGAAGGCTTACACAAGTTTTCATGCATATCTTGAGTTTTACAAGCCATGATTATCTTTCCGAGCAGCGGACATAAGAATAAGATGAAATGATTTCTCTTTTTGTAATTCCAGTTTCTCTAATGGAGAGAGATGATTATTCATTTTCTGTTATTCCCTCTGAGTCACAGCCGGCGCCCAAAACAAGGGCTCATTCTCTGATTTGACAAGACCAAAAATAAATCCGAGCCTCCCCCCCTCTCTGTCTGCTTTTCTGTTTCTCACACTTTGTACTTCTACTCCACTGCATTTATGTGATACTTGTTTACTTTTTGCATACATAAAACTATGTAGTGTATATTCTATGTATCTACTAAGGAGTACACAATAATCCAAACGTTGCTATTCATTGACAAATTACAACACAAACAACATGATATTGTAACATTCCCTCAAAGAGTCCTCTCCTGCTGATGTTCAGGTGTATACTGAGACTGCCAAGGCTCGTCCTGAGAAA